CAGTTCTGCTACATAACGGAAATGTTAAACCATCCATTCCTGTAGCCCATGCAGTGGGTATGAAAGAAACATATGAATCTATGAAGACACTTCTTAAAGTTATAAAGTACACTGATCACAACTGGAATATCAGTGGGGATCTCAAAGTTGTTGCTCTTCTTCTTGGGATGCAATTGGGGTACACGAAACACATGTGCTTTTTGTGTCTGTGGAACAGTCGTGATGATGCAAATCACTATCTCGTCAAAGACTGGCCTGCGAGAATTGATCCGGTACCTGGACAATTTAACATTCTTCACGAATCGTTGGTGAATCCTGACAAAATCTTCCTTCCTCCTCTTCATATCAAATTAGGAATATTTAAAAACTTTGTCAAGGCGCTACCTACTGATTCGAAAGGATTTATTTATCTTAAAGATAAATTCAAAACCACTCTCACAAACGCAAAGATAGCTGCAGGAGTTTTTACTGGACCACAGATACGTGAAGTTATTCGTGACCCAAATTTCAAATTACAACTAGAGCCTGTGGAGTTGCTGGCTTGGGAAGCGTTTGTGGCACTGGTTCAGAATTTTTTAGGAAACCACAGATCAGAAGACTATGTGAACTTGGTAGAAAACTTCATAATGGCATACCAAAACATGGGTTGTAGAATGTCCCTAAAAATCCATTTCCTCCATTCCCACCTTAGCTTCTTTCCTGCCAATTTAGGAGCTGTCAGTGATGAACAGGGAGAAAGATTCCATCAAGAAATCTCTGTTATGGAACACCGGTATCAGGGTCGTTTTGATAGTAACATGATGGGGGATTTCTGTTGGTTTCTACAGCGTGAAAGTGAAAGTCAATATAAGCGCAAAAGATCATTATCGACAAATTATTTTTATTAATTTAACTTTGAGACATTACCTATGTAATAATTTTGATTTAAATAAATAAAAAAACAATCAGATTATGAATATGTTTTGGTTTTGAGTATTCTTGAGCACGGCTGAAAATGGACTAATTTAGCACCTAAAATTCACAATCTTTTAGCTGTAACTTTATAACCTGACGTCCTATGACAAAAAGAATAGCAGATTTGTAATCAGCATACCCAAATTACCCTAGAACAACTAACAAAGTCTGAGTAGCAAAAAACTTGTTGCATAGTGTAATAGCACATGATAATATTCTGTCTGTCGGTGAGAAACTACTGTAAAGAAGACCTCGCATCACACACATTAATAGAACATTGTATGAATTTGAACCTGGTAGCTGCATAGCAGGACAAGGCACCTTTAACCATTAAGCTATCAGGCTTACCCATATTTAAACAGATACAGACATCAAACAATCTAATCTTTTTTATCCTCACCTATAGTTTGAGCGCAGACAATCACGTACGAGAGCCAAAATATTTTTTTCATTATTTATTTTTTGCTATTGATCCCTAAAATAAACAAACATAGTAAAAAAAATATAAACATTGGCGTCTATTCATTGAAAATTCAGTATCGATTCCATAATATACATGAAAGATATTATACAGGTATCCAGAGTTATGTGTATTATTCCATAATATACATGAAAGAATTTATACAGATATCCAGAGTTATGTGTATTATTCCATAATATACATTAAAGATTTTATACTGATATCCAGAGTTATGTGTATTATTCCATAATATACATTAAAGATTTTATACAGGTATCCAGAGTTATGTGTATTATTCCATAATATGCATGAAAGATTTTACACAGATATCCAGAGTTATGTGTATTATTCCATAATATACATTAAAGATTTTATACAGGTATCCAGAGTTATGTGTATTATTCCATAATATACATGAAAGATTTTACACAGATATCCAGAGTTATGTGTATTATTCCATAATATACATTAAAGATTTTATACAGGTATCCAGAGTTATGTGTATTATTCCATAATATACATGAAAGATTTTACACAGATATCCAGAGTTATGTGTATTATTCCATAATATACATTAAAGATTTTATACAGGTATCCAGAGTTATGTGTATTATTCCATAATATACATGAAAGATTTTACACAGATATCCAGAGTTATGTGTATTATTCCATAATATACATTAAAGATTTTATACAGGTATCCAGAGTTATGTGTATTATTCCATAATATACATGAAAGATTTTACACAGATATCCAGAGTTATGTGTATTATTCCATAATATACATTAAAGATTTTATACAGGTATCCAGAGTTATGTGTATTATTCCATAATATACATGAAAGATTTTATACAGATATCCAGAGTTATGTGTATTATTCCATAATATACATTAAAGATTTTATACAGGTATCCAGAGTTATGTGTATTATTCCATAATATACATGAAAGATTTTATACAGATATCCAGAGTTATGTGTATTATTCCATAATATACATTAAAGATTTTATACAGGTATCCAAAGTTATGTGTATTATTCCATAATATACATTAAAGATTTTATACAGGTATCCAGAGTTATGTGTATTATTCCATAATATACATTAAAGATTTTATACAGGTATCCAGAGTTATGTGTATTATTTCATAATATACATGAAAGATTTTATACAGGTATCCAGAGTTATGTGTATTATTCCATAATATACAGGAAAGATTTTATACTGATATCCAGAGTTATGTGTATTATTCCATAATATACAGGAAAGATTTTATACAGGTATCCAGAGTTATGTGTATTATTCCATAATATACATGAAAGATTTTATACAGATATCCAGAGTTATGTGTATATTTAATTTTCTCCCTATCCAACATCTTCAATATTCTTCCATCACTTTGTACCTTTATCTTCTGTTCACCGGAAGAAAAATACATTCTTTTAGTTACACACAGCCGAGATAAAAACCATTTTTTAAATCCTTTTTTGATGTTAATGTTGTTATGTGAGATTATTTCAAGTGCAAACCTTATTTCGAGTGAAAAAGAAAAAGAGAGAGAAAGAGAAAGAGAAATTTTTCTATATTATGAAGAGCTTCAGAAAAGAAATTAAAAACAGTTTGTTTTTAGATTTTTTCATGTTTTTTTTTCATGCTACATCGATGAATGAACATTTATGTTTGTACAAATAAGCAGTGTTTAACGTATGCAATGTTGATGAGTTTTTTGAACGGAAATTTCACACATACATAGATACATACGAACATACAAGAATATAGACACTATAACAGTCTGTTGTATGTGATGACGTGTATGAGGTTTTTTCCAAAGAAATGTCAAAACTACTGGAATCTTCTAATAAAATACATTCGTTCAACCAACTGTAGCAAAGATAGAGCTTTTGAAGTTTATCAAGAGAAACGCTCCTAAAACTTAACGAAACAATAAAATACAATTTTGTAGGCCATACACACACGCATACACCACACACAAACACACATACACCACACACAAACACACACACCATAAACAAGCTCACACACATACACAAATTACGCATACATGATACAATCCTAAGTTTTTCCACATAGACTCTTCGTTGAGTTCTTATTATAAACTGGGAGTAAGTACAAATCATACATCTCATGGGCTGTTATATACGAGCATTGTATTATAAATTGAAGTAAAAACTGTATTTTAACCTGTATATAAATAATTTTTGTCAACTAATTAATAATTAATTATTTGATAACTAATTAATAATTAAATATTTGTTAAACAATTTCATTTCGAAATAGATCTTAAAATAATAATAACTAGTTAAAATAATAAATAATCAAGAAATACTCCTATGAATAAAATGAAAATAAATGGATAAATTATATATAATTTAATTAATTAATTAATTAACAACTAAATAAATGAATAGATTAATAAGTAAATAATTATTTACTTTTATACATACACATAAGAAGTCAGCTAGCACTAAATCATAAACGTGCAGATATAAAGATATGTAACAAGGAAAAAAACAAACATCATATAACATGCAAGCCAGATTCCCTGTGCTAACTCTAAAACGCGTTCATACTAAATATTACTCATCATTAACATTATCAGTTGTTTTTTCTACTGCTTCTGTTTTGTTATTATTGTTGTTGTTGTTGGTGTTATTGTTGGTGTTATTGTTGTGTTTTATTAAGAAGTGTTGTTATTAGTGTTGTTGTGGTATATTATTTTTGATTTTATCGTTATTGTCTGCCAACTTTTTCATAAGAATCAGTCCTAAGAAGTTTTGCTGTTTATCTGGTTGAAACGGCTCGGACTTTATTTTTCTTTTGAAATGTTAGTATGTTCATTTTGAATTGAAGATTTAATTAATTATATTTTATTTTTAAACTTTTATAATATGATTTATTAATATAATATAATTTAATCTAATAATAATAATCTAATAATAATCTTATATAATTTATTATATACTAATATATATTTTTATAACTTTTCAATAATATGCAATAAAAATATCTAACGCCAGAATCAACGTTTTGAAATTATATTTTAAGCCACATCCAGGGAATTTTATTAGAATTATTCTTACTTTAAGCTTATACAATATAATTTTGAATTTTCAACATTTTTTTAGAAATGTAATGCTAGTAGTACTATAACTTGACATAATTTTGCCACTAATTCACTATTTTGTTTTACAATATCAAAACTCTTATTCAGTAAACGGATTCTTGTTTGATCAACAAAACCAAAAACTACAAAAAAATGGCTATGGCTGGTTGGTGGATTTTATTCATTTTTTTATAATACAGCTCTGTTAAACTCAGAGCCTCTTACGTGTTATTCTCTACATTTTAATAAACCTTTACTGCCACAAAGACTGCACTATCCACAACACACCACAACACACCAATTCAAGAATTGGCCATACTCGTACTATAGAATTTGAGTTTCAGACAGACACTACTCGAGCCGTGCCACTGCGTAATAGCATTATATGTAGTCCTCAAGATTCATTAATGTGAAAAATTTTAAATATGAGATAAAATAATTCCTTACAAAAATATTCCAAAAGGCTTGGTCAAGGCTAAAACATACAATTGGAAGGATACGAACTTGGAATTTTTTGGCTCCAAGGAGGAAAGAAGAGTTAAGAGTTAGTTGATTTTGTTATTTTTCTTGTTAACCTGTTTGTTAGATTCATTGAAGCAGAAAATTAAATCAGTCGAATTCCATTTTGAATATTTTTTGTCTGCTATTAATTAGGAAGAAAATGAAATCTAAAGTCCAAAAAATGGAACTGAATGGTTGAAATGATTACATGATGTTGATGATGACGATGACGACGACGATGATGAGGACGATGACGACCTAACGATGACGATGATAAAATCAATGACGAAACTTCAAACAATGACGTCACATTGCAGAGGAATCGGCCCAACACGAACCGGCCTGGCAAGACGTGGGGAAGAAAACTGGATTGAAAATATGGAGGATTGTTGTGAGGCATACCATTAAATTTCACCTTTGAGCCCTTCTACCAAATTTATATTATTTTTTATATTTGTTTATTTTATATTTCTTCAATTTTAAAAGCTTCATGTAATTGTCATAGAGATAGTTTAGCGTTATTTTTTCCAAATTACTACTCTATTGTTTTAACTTCCCAGCTTAAAAACATAAAAAATTAGTCTGATATTTCAACAAATATATAAAACAATTAATTAAAATAATAATTTTTTTCAAATATAAATATACAGAAATTCAAAGTGACAGACTGGCCAGAAGAAGATTACGGAAAGTTTTATAACGGAGATTCCTATATCGTTCTAAATGTTGGGGCTCTCATAAGTTTAACATTTTTTGTATAAAATTAGTTTTTCTACTTGAATTGTATTATTTTTTATATTTTTTTGGCATAAGCCAAAACATTTCATAATTCTAAAATTTTTTTTTCATAAAACTAGTTTTCCTACTTGAATTGTATTATTTTTTGGCATTTTTGTTTTACTTATGCCAAAACATTTTACAAAGATCTTCATAAATTCAACATCCAATCGTATGATAAACTGCCGGAAAAATATCTGAATATACGAACTAGCAAAGACACATTAAAAGGATCAAACACATACTTCTAACATGCACATCTAGCACTTGTAATACATACTTTTAACAAACACTTACACACACTTAGAACCTCTAACACACACTTTTATACTCACACACACACACACACGCACGCACACACACGCACGCACACACACGCACACACACACACGCACACGCACATACATCCCCACAGACCTTTAAAGGACATGACGAGAGTCAGTCAATCAAATATGACGCGCATTTTTGGATTGGAAGCAATAGCACGCAGGTTTTATGGATGAATGAATGAATGAATGGATGGATGGAAGGATGGATAGATAGATAAATGAATGAATGAATAAATGGATGGATGGATAGATAAATAGATGAATGAATTGATGCATCGGTCAGTCTGTCTCTCTTTTTATTTGCCATTTTTACCTCAATTTACCATGCATACATACGTACATCTATTTGTCCATCTATTCCGAAATCCATCTAACTATCCACCAATCCATCCACCCATATCCATTTGTTCATCCATCCATCCATCCATCCATCCATACATTAAACAAGGATGAATATGCCACGGCTGCCTACAAGACTGTAGAACTGGACAACTACCTTGACGATGCGGCTATCCAGCACCGCGAAGTTGAGGGATTCGAATCCGAACTCTTCCTCTCTTATTTCCCTTCTATCACGTGATTTTTAAATTTTTGTTTGTTTATTTGTTTATTCGTGATTGTTTTTTTTTCATTTAGCTGCATCATCATCCTTAAAATTTTTTTTGTTGTTTTTTTAGAATTTTCTCGATTAAATTTAAAAAATTGATAGTGCACTTCAAAAAATCATGGTCTTCATGAACTTTATCGTCTTCTTCATCTCCATCTTTATCACTATCACCGTTATCACCATCATCACTATCTTTATCACCATAATCGTCTTCATCTTAATCAGCATTTTCATAATCCCCATAACCCCCAGTATTATGGAGGGTGGTGCCGATAGTGGCTTCAGAAAGGTCGGCCCTACTGAGTACAAACCAAGGCTGCTTCATTTCTCTGGTTTCAAGCAGCATGTAACTGTTAGAGAGGTATGGCGATGATGACGAAGACAACGAAGATGATGGTGATGACGATGATGATGATGGTAATGGTGATAACGAAGATGATGATGACGGCGATGATGATGGTGGTGACGATGATGATGATGGTAATGGTGATAACGAAGATGATGATGACGGCGATGATGAAAATTGTAATTATTAACCTGAAGAATTGTCTATAATAATTGTTGTTATTTATTTTTTTTATGTTTTACTATTCAAATTAATTTTTCCTTTTATTTTACAATTTAATTTAATATATAATTTTTGAATAATAATTTAGAGTAGGACTATAATCGTAATAAGAATGAAAATAATAACAGCAATGGGCAATACAATTCAGGTTGCTCTGCATCCGAACCGCGTTGTAACAGGTGATGTGTTTATCCTGGACCTGGGACTCAAGTTGTACCAGTGGAATGGTAGAAAGAGTAGTAAGGATGAAAGATTTAAGGTGGGTTGAGTTGGCTAGGCGGCTTTAGTGGTATAATGGTTGAGGTGTCTGGCGTTGGTTTCGCAGTGACCTTGTTCGAATGCCGTGAAAATCCTTGTCTTTCACATGCGTTATGTGTGATATGTTGATTAACCTGTATGTTAAATTTTAACATGTTGATAAAACTGTATGTCAATGTTGCTGGAGAAATAATAATTTAAATAATGGAAAAAAAGAAATGTTAAATATTTAGCTCTATTCTAATGTTTTATTAATGCTTAGTTTAAACAGTTGTTTAATTAACCTACATGACGCAGAGAACTTATTTTATAACGACATTTTTATTGTTAACACTAAATAAATTTGACACTTCGAACCCATAGGCCAACCAATACTTGAACAATTTGAAGTCTGAACGCGGTGGAAATAGTTCATATGAGGTTCTTGAAGAAACTGACACTGCTCCAACTGTGAGTTTTTTTTTGAGAAATCATGCTCATATAAGCACAGCCTACATTTTTTGACTAGTATACTATTGAAGGTGTTGAAAATAAAGAAATCATTTTCATAATCATCACAGTCATATTTTTTCGTGTTTATTCAAATTAGAAAATATATTTGATTTATAAAATATCTTTGGTTCATTTATTTTGTGAAAAAAAATATAATTAAATTTGAACCAGCATGTGTTCTTTGAATCACTTACCGGTGAAGACGTTGAATACGAAGATAAGGTTGATTCAGAGGCGGAAATTAAAATCCTACATAAGTAAATTTTGTGTTTTTGGTAATTTTGTTCGTGACGTTGTTACCGCCGTTGCTACAGTTGTTGTTGGTGATGTTTTTGTTGATGTTGTTAGTGTGTTTTTTAAGTGCAAAATATAGAAACCCAGAAATTCAGCATCTTCAAAAGTCTGTTTGCAAAACACTCAAGCCTCTTTCATAAATATTATATTCAATTTAAGTCAACATGTTTTGGTTTTAAAAAACAATTACGGCGTTTTAAATATTATTTACCAATGAAATGACACTTCTTGACCAGCAAAAATTTTGATAGGTTTTTTCACATTTTAATGGCCATATAATGTTTATAACTGTTACCGATAACTGATGAAAATGAGTAAAACCTCAATTAAGGTTTTCAAAAATTTGATGTGATTCAAACGTCGTCATCATCGTCGTCGTCATCGTCATCATCATCATCGTCACCATCATCATTACCATCATCATTAGAGTCTCAGACGCAGCTGGACATTTGAAGTCCACAAAAGTGAAGGAAGGGGACATTACGATGGCTGACTTGGATTCTAAGGTTTTTTGACACACACACGCGCACACACACGCGCACACACACAAACATAACACACACACATGAAAACTCACATTTACACCTACACATAAAAACACACACACAAAGGACGTTTTCATTTTGGATACTGGTAAGGACTGTTTCGTGTGGATAGGCCATGATTCATCGCCAGGGGAGAAGCAAAATGGAATTGGATACGCGCATGTATGTTTTGAGATGTTCAACTTTGCGTTTTTTTTTTTAATTATTTTGTACATTTTTATTTAATTTGCAAGCTGAATCACTCACAAATTAAACTAATTCAAGTCTACGTGTTGAGGTGTTCAACATTGTATAACTTTTTGTTTTGTTAACTTCGCAAACTGAATCACTCACAAGCAATCGAGAAAATGTGGAAAAAACTTTCCCCAACAGAGTCATTTGATGAAGACCTCCCACCCCCTCATACCTGTCCATGTCATCAAAGAAGGGCAAACCAACAGGGCTTTCAATTCTGCTATTGCAGCTTAAACTCCGTGTTTGGAAGATCGAAAATGAAAGAAGTTTTGTAGCAGTAGCAGCAGCAACAGCAGTACCAGTGATAGTATTAGTAGTAGTAGTAGTAGTAATAGTGGTATTAGTGGTAGTAGTAGTAGTTGGAGTAGTAGTTGTAGAAATAGTAGTAGTAGTAGTAGTAGTAGTAGTAGTAGTAGTAGTAGTAGTAGTAGTAATAGTAGTAGTTGACGTAGTAGTAGTAGTAGCGGTGATTATAATGCTTGTAGTTGTAGTAATAGTAGTGGTAAATTAGTAGTAGTAGTAGCAGCAGCAAAAGTAGTAGTTGTGATCGTAGTAGTAGTAGTAGTAGAAGTAAGGGGGTAGGTAGTAGTAGTTTTAGTTATAGTAGAGTAGGTTTTGATAGAATAGTTATGTTTTTAAAAATATTTCGGTGTTTCTGAGTATGTTTTTAATTGTTTCAATGTGTAATTTATATTCTACTTAACAAAATGAATTTTTGATGTTATATGGTGTAAAGTAAACCTTATTAGTCAATTTTAAAGATTTAAGATTTTTAAAAACGTGGCTTCATTTTTTTTTCTTTTCCTTTCATTTTTATCAATAAAAATGTCAATTGAATTAATTTAGTTCAGTATTTGTTCAGTTCCAAATTCTAGACAAGGGTGAATTAACAAGTAGAGAACTTTATCATTCCTGTCGTTCGTACATTACAACAGGTACTGTTCACAAAATCGTCGTTTGGTGTGGCTGTTAAATATAAATCTGTATGTGGGGTGTCAGTGTTTTACACAAATAAATATGTAAGTTGGTTTGTATGTGTGTTTGCGAGTGTGTGTGTGAGTGTGTGTGCGTATGTCTGTGTATGGGTCTTTTTTGATGTGTGTGTGTGTGTAAGTTTGTGTGTAATGTAGTGTTGTCTAAAAGCAAAATTAGTTTTAGCTGTTGAAAACTTGACAGTCAACATCATACGATGCATGTAGTTGAATGGGGAGTTCTACCTGTTTTCAAGGTGAGTCTGAACATCGAACGGAAGGAGTTGTTTTTGCAAGTTTTAACTGCGTGAATCATTAAATAGTTTATGTATTGTGCTTTTAAAAAGTTCTCGCTAAATTTAAACGTAAATAAAAAACTAAAAAATTTCAAAAATAATTATTTTGTTGACATGTGTACTCGTTGACATTATGGTTTGAAACATGTGTGTCGTGTATGTGTGTAGAAACGAATATGTTGTGTGTGTGCTGGTTATGTATTTTGATATGGGCATTTGACACATTATGGGACTTTTTATACCATGTATGTTTATACAGCCTCCATGTTATGGATGTGTGACATTGCTAAAGATAATTAGATCGAAGAATTGAAAATTGTATGTGTTTGAATTATCACTATTCCAAATATGCACTAGCGTCGTAAACAGTTTAATAAATTTGCACCAAAGCAGCGGTACGAAAAATCTCACATACATTAGTACTCCCATAACGTTCACAAGTTGTCTTCGTTTTACCCAAATTGAAATTAGAGTTCAGAAAGATCGCTTGCTTCATGTCAAAAAACATCGGCCTCAAGAAATTTCAACAATTACATACACATTGCTCAACTACAACTACAGGTGCAATTGATACTGTATAACTACCGCTAAGCAAACCAAACCACACTCACCGACAACAATACATGTCATGTCCAAACATTCAATTGGATATGAGCTTTCAAAATATTTTTTTGGTAAGAAGCGTGAATTTTAAAAGTTTGTCATTATAAAAAATAACTGACATCTGACGTTTGGGAGAAAAAAATTCACCATAAAAAAATATTCAATTTAAACAGTAAAGTTTTATTATTTAAAAAATATTTGCACTTTATGACATTTAAACTCAGTGCAAGTTTATTTACAATTAGTTAATTTACAAGTTTGTTAATATTATTTAAAAATTGTAAGTACGTATAAGCAAATTAATTTGAAATTTCTTCGTTGTGAATTGTATGCCTTACGGTCATAATGAAATATATTGAGATTATATAAATGCAGGCAAATTGTTTAAAAACAGACGTTTCTGACCCGGCGATGTTACTAGAGCGCGCATGAAGGCACGTCTCTGGAACTAGCAGCAGGTTTAGATCATGGGACCTCAGATGCGTTCAAGATAAGCTGACGACTTCTTTGCAAACCTCTATTACCATTAAAATGGTGCAAGACAATTTATTGACTTGTAGACTAGAGTTGATATTTTCAAGATTATTCTTTTTTTGACGGTTAGCCAGTGCAGTTGTCTCAGTATTGGTGATACGTGATCACATACTTTAAACCGCCGACGACAACTTTTGCTGCTCGATTCTGCAATGACTATAATAAAGCAAGTGATTTTTTTTGTTGTTAGTATAACGGACTATAACAATAATCAATTCGTGAGTGTACAAAAACATATGAGCAGAAACAACACTCCCAAATTTTGAACTTGTCATGATATGACAACAACATACACTTCACAAGTATTGAGAATATACCTCACTATACTAATTGCTAAACACCACCAGCTGACACTAGTTCTACATACTTATCCCTTTTTAGATTATACCGTATTTTTAACAGTTTTCATTAGCAAAACAGTGTTTCTACCAAATAATCAAAGAACATAAATGTTAAAGATGCAAAGTTTGATTATATTTACAAATATCCCGCTTGAAAAGATCCCATTTTTCATGAAGGCTCCAGCTGTCCTGCCTTAAACCTGTCTCTGCCACATTAAGATTTATTAAAACTTCCTCTTCATAAAAATCAATGAAGACAACGAACTCTCTTTGCATTTCAATTTCTGTTCCTTTTCTATTTCAGAATATCAAATGATAATAATGTTTTATTCCAAAAAAGTAAAATGTAAAAGTTCTTGTTATAACTAACTAAAAACAAGATGATTTTATTGGTCAACCATTGGTCAACCATTTTTTAATGAGACCGTTATTGGTCAACCATTTATCCAATCGTAGTGCTTCAAGAATATTTATAAAATTGAAATGATTATATATATAAATATAAATAAAACAGACTATTACAATGATCAATTCTTTTATATATATATATATATATATATATATATATATATATATATAGCAAAAATACTCTATTTGAACAATTATATATATTCTTATATATCAATTCTTATATATATATATATATATATATATATAGCAAAAATACTCTATTTGAACAATTATATATATTCTTATATATCAATTCTTATATATATATATATATATATATATATATATAGCAAAAATACTCTATTTGAACAATTATATATATTCTTATATATCAATTCTTATATATATATATATATATATATATATATAGCAAAAATACTCTATTTGAACAATTATATATATTCTTATATATCAATTCTTATATATATATATATATATATATATATATATATATATATATATATATATATATATATAGCAAAAATACTCTATTTGAACAATTATATATATTCTTATGCGTTCGTCGAATGCAATGTTTCAAACAACATTTGAAGGGATTAAACGTTGAAAATGGCGAATTTCTCTTACAAGAAATACTTCATTGTAATTCTTCTATCAGTGTTTTATCATATCTTGCAGTTTCAGCCTCAAAAAGCTGTGTTGTTCAGCATTTTTCAGCTGTGTTGTACAGTTACATTTCTGTTAGCAACCAGAAAACGAACATTTGTTTCGATGAAGCCATGGATGGAGTTTTGAAACTGTTGGCTGTTTATGCTGCCCAATGCATCCACAAGTGTCTGGTCAATCAAAAAATGTCATCTTTGTTCAACGTTTTGATTTCTATTAGTTCATTATATTTTCTATATTCAACTGTTACATGTGGTTTCATATGAACCTAGTAATTTGAACTTTTTCTTCACAAATTTTAGTGAAATAACTGAGATTAAACTAAACACATACATGAGAAACATAAATATGTTGTTAAAAAAATAGATCAGTTAAATTATTTTCAATGAAACTTACGGTGTCAAAATGTATTTCAATGAATAATAACCGATATAAATAAGAAAAAATTACAATATTATTTCATTCAATCCAACAAAATTTTGTAACCAGCAAGCAACCGGCGTGAACTTGAGAGGCATCAACCACAGGACATCAGTGAGATCTTGTTTGTGTGTTCCGAAAATGAACCTTCTGTATAACGTAACTACTGATCTGACTGGAGGATGCCTGGCGTATATGACTCACGGTAAGTATCAATGTGCATATAAATTGTTGTAAAATAATTAATTTTTTTCTTCGAAACCCTTCACAAGACTGTCCATCCGAATTCGACTACATAGTAAAAAATAACAAGTGTTACAACTATCAGCCATCAGGAAACACTTGGAACAATTCCAGAGATATTTGCAATGCTCTGCTCAACTCCCATCCCCTTATCATTGATGATTCTAATGAACTTTATGTTCTCAGCTCTTATCTCAAGGTCATCAAAGGTAACAATTTTTACAATCTTTGCGGTAATTTTATTTTAAAATTATTTTTAAAAAACTTGTCAAATTTTATCATTATTAAAATTAAGTCACAGATTAAATGCACAATAAAATTTGAAATTAACTTTATTATTGTATAACCACAGATTTTTCGTACACTTGGACCGCTGGCTTTCGACCGTACATTTTTTACTATTTTTGCGGTAATTTTATTTTGAAATTAATTTTGAAAAACTTTCCCAATTTCAACATTAATATAATTAAGTCACAGATTCACAATAGAATTTGAAATTATCTTTAGTATTTCCTAACCACAGATTTTTTGATGGTTTGGACAGCTGGCTTTCGATCGTACATCAATAGAACTTCTTTTTTCATCTGGCAACCCTATCCAGGTATTAATAGAATTACTCAAAATTGTTAACTGTAAAAATTTGCACCGTCCATCGTGGCATGGAGATATTTTGAGTGATTGCTGATGTTCAACCCATCGTTCGTAGCGTACAAATTAATTATCTCAGAATGTTAATATTAATAAATGCTGAATTATTAAATAGACTGAATTAATTAAATTATCATTACCACCAACAACAACAATTGCAGTTTTTTCACTATGATTAGCTATCTCATCAAAATTTGAAATACAATCATGTTTGCAAAAATGTTATCTATTATAGAATTTTGTATTCATGGGCATTAACCAAATTTTTTTTAGGTAGAAGTTTGAAGATGTTTATATGACCATTTTAACTAGCATAGTTTCTTTATTGAAAAATTTCAACATTAAAACCAGGAAAAGAGAGTCCAATCAGTTACTACTCCTGGTGGAATGGTGGTGCAAACTTAGTGAACCTTAATATGAACTGCATTGTATTCGTAACCGAAATAAACCGCATGGAGAATAATTATTGCGGCAGTTCGTTTTCCGTTCTATGTGAGATCGATGTTGAGTAGTTTTAATTCAGTTTCAGGCTAAAATTGACCTGCCGAAACATTTTGACGGTGAAGCAATATCTTCATTGGTGACAACTTTGAGGGATTTATAATAATTATAACGATTTGCACACATTGACCATAGTACTTTAAACATTCATCTTTTTTGAACTTTTTTATTAATTTGTATTGTTTTTTGACGGGATGGCCAAATGGTTGAGGACGCCTGGTTCGAATTCATAAACTAATAAGATGTCTTTACTAGGTTTTCATCTTTAAAATCTCTTACCAAATCATCAATTACAAGATACTTGTTTAATTCACTTCAAACAAGAAAAACATTTCAAGGCAACTAAAATTTAAAACTAAGCTTCAAAATGGTATTATATAAGGAGCCTGCTAAGATAGAAACAGTGGTATCTTGTTCAAGTGTTCCAAAAATGAACATCTTGTATAAGGTAACTACTGATCTGACTGGAGCATGTCTGGCTTATATGACTCATGGTTATTATAATGAATGAATAAATATATAAATGAATGAATGAACGAACGAACGAACGAACGAATGAATGAATGAATAAATGAGTGAATGAATGAAAATTGAATGGATGAATTAATACATACATATGTATATATTAATTTAACTGACATGTTTTATCTGGAATGCATTATCTACTCTACAAGGTTGTCTAAATGAATTCGACTACGTTGTAGAGAGCAGCCAACGTAACAAGCAGGAACCTGTCAAGTACGGAAGGAGCGTCTCTAGAGTTACCTGCAAAGCTCTAATTCATTCACACTCATCTTTCACGAAATCTGAATTAATGGGTCTCGGTGACATTTTCCCTCCTACTTGCATACATAACAGTAGTAGTAGTAGTAAAAATAGTAGTAGCAGTAGCAGTAATTTACGCCGTAGATATTCAAAGGAGCCACAGTATGATGACAGCCGATCCTAGCCTGATTTGAAACTATTCGCTATGGCTGCTTCCACAAGTTTACTTGGCAATGAATTGCAAAGATTTGCTGATCTATTAAAATAATAATTGTCCCTCTGCCGTAGTTGTGTTATCTCTTCATAGTATATACAATATTTAAAAAGGTAAGTAAGGTAAGGATTTTCTCAAATCAGAAATCATACCTATTGTAATTAACCTACCAAACTAAGAAAATAAATGTTATGGATACAGATTTTTTTCTACGTCATTGTAAACAAAATAATCCCAAAACAAAAGTTTATAATTGTAAACATCTATTTAAGATAATTCGTTAATGTCAAAATATTTTTCGTCAACAAAATTTTCAAAAATTTTTAACATTTATTTTTTTGGGTCTATACTAATTTGTTATACCCCAAGTAGGTTTTTTATTTTGATTCAGTAACGATGGACTTTTGTCTGTGTGTAAGTTGTGTGTGTATGTGTGTGAGTGTGTGTGTGTAAGTGTGTATGTATGGTTTGTATGTATGGTGTGTGTGGGTGTGTAAGCGTGTGTGTATAGGCACCAGCAAATCTAAATTGATGTGCTAAATAAAGATATAATTTTTATAACATTTAAACTGTAAAAATCCTTCAGATATATATGGAGACAAATTCAAATATAAAGGGTGCTTTCAAAGCATGAAAGAACTTCGTCTTGGACATTTTGATACTTTAAAAAGTTGCTACGACTTCTGCCATCAGCACTTGTTCTACGGAATGACGGTTGTTTGATTATAAATAACTTGTTTGACTTTTTTCCATGCTTATCATAATTTTCATAATTTGGTTTGGTCTGATTTTCTCCAAAATGACTTATTCTTTTATTTTGAGTTTTGTCGTTTTTTCTAAAGCTTAAAGCACGCTTCAGTTTGCAATTTATTGAGAATGATTTGTTAGAAATAATCATTGTCAAAGTTAAATTACTTTTTCGCTCTTTTACGCAACATCATCGTTATCATTAGAACTACCAATTGGGTTCAAAAGGTATTTAAAATGATATATCTACTTTAATAACCATCAAATAAAAGAAGATGTTATTTGTGTGATAGAGAGAATGACAAAGAATCCAATACTTGCTGTGCAGTTTGTAAGAAAATGTTTGTAATGAACATTTGTTAAGAATTTGCAGCAACTGTCATAAGTAAAAATTAATTGACTGATAAAATTTGTTTTTCTAGATGTTCGTTAATATTTCTGTTTTAATAAATTAATAACAAAAATAATAAATAAATTAATAAAGATGATATACAAACATATCTGTTAAAGTTTTTCAATGTAAAAATACTATTGGGGTTCATTGGACCCCAATGGTATTTAATGCTATTAAACAAAGCTTGTATTTCCAGGGTTATTTTTCATTTTTTCATAATTTCTTACTTCAATCAAACCTATGTACCTCGACAGTAACAAATTTTTGAAAACTTTTAATTAAAAATGATATCTCGATTAAATACAACAGAATAAAAAAGTCTGCAAGTGTGCAGACAGTATTGGTGAAGAGCTGGATCCCGAGAAATGCAACATCACTTGCACTGATGAGCATTCGTGTGGAGGGTACGATGCTTATTCCATTTATACATGTGAGAGTTGATTTCATCTTGCAGACGTTGTAATAGAAAAATCTTTTTATTTAATACATTCTCTCAAATTGAAACCAATTTTTTTTTAAATTATAAATTTGAATTGCTAAGTTTTACATAATTTCTAAATTATTTTTTTAAATTTGGAAGATAAAAGAGCGGAGTTGGTTGGGTGTTTCTTATACGTGAAATTTGAACCGGATGGAATTAATCCACCAGGGAACATTCCGTGCTCAAGACAATGTTACGATCTTGGCCATCATTTCAGTGGGACTAAAGTAATGTTTTTGGAAATTTTTAAATTGATTTTTAATTTTTATTGAATTCCGATTAAGATTAAATTTTAATGTAATTTGGTTTTCCAATCGATTTGATGATCTTATGAACAATTTTCATTCAGCAAAATAATTTTTAGATAGAATTATGCATGTGTGGAGATAATTTCAGCTTCAAAAACCAGATCAGCAAAGAGCAGTGCAGGAACTCTTCTAAAAATATTTTAGTCTCGGATGGTTAATATCAACATTTAAAACATTCACTCACACATAAACACACGCACACACAAACACACACACACATGCACACATTCGGACACACAAAGTCTTAAATTTATATTTATTCCTTATTATTCCAGTGACACTAGATTCGGACATTCCAAATAGAACGCCAGTGTTCAATTATTGTATGAACGATAGGAAATTAATCAGGGAGTCTTTCTGCAAATCTGGTGTTTGCGCGCCTGGTTGGATTGGACCGCTCTGTAATGTTAAAAGTGAATATCCTATTCTGTGATCAGAAATATTTTAAATTATGTTATAATCGTAACATTAGTCACGTTTGTAATTTCAAAAATTAATGAAGGTGTCCTTGTTCACAAAATGACTAAGTTAATTTTCATTTTATAGCGCTTCTGATATTTTGATAAAATTGTTTTTACCTCTATTTACATACGCACATGAAAAACTTAACCCAAAATAGGCGGATTTTTATTGTTGGCTTGAGTAAAAAAACCTTAAGAAACAAATTTTTTTACTCAAGCTTACAATAAAAATCCGCCTATTTTGGGTTAAGCTTTTCATGTGCGTATGTAAATAGTAAGTTGTTTATTATATGAATTAATTCCAACAAAAAAACTGAAATCACTCCAACAGATGAGACCAATTCAATCGTCGAAGCGACCACCGCAAGTGTTGTTGTGAACAACTGTGACGTGCAAAATGGTGGGTGTGGGGAGTTGGTGTGTATCGAGGTCGATTCTTATGAGGAAGATGATGAGGCGGGTTCCAGTATCAGATGCTACGAGGGAGACAAGGAGGCCATTGTAGGGACAGGTTTAATGGCGGTTCCTTAAATTTTTTTAACAAGTTGTTATAAGCATTTTTCTCATGAACATTGCAAAAACGTTTTTTTGCAGCCGAGAGCCAAGATAATTTAGTCTACAAAGGGTGTTTTACAAATATGAAGGAAAAGAATGACTTCCAAACCGACTCTGTAAAATCCTGTGACAAAATTTGCAGCTTTACATTATTTTACGGAATTAAAGTTCGTGTGATTACATATTTTCTGGTTTTAATTTAGCGTTTAATTTTAAAATTATAAAAATTAAACATCCGATTATATTTTTTCATAATAATTTTCAATTTGGTCCAAAAGAATAAAAATGTCTGCACATGTTCAAACGCTGTGGAGGAAGAATTGAACGCAGAAAAATGTGATAAAAAATGTTCAGACGGATTCTCGTGTGGCGGAATAAGCACGTACTCAGTCTACGCCAGTAAGTGATAATTTTGTTTGGGATTGAGACATCGGTTATATGAGATATGTATCTGTATGATGCTGGTTACATAAAACTTTAACCTAGCGGGTTTGTTAGGAGTTCGCTTGCTTTTTATCAAATGCTATATCAAATTTTTCAATAACTTTTTGACAACTGGTTCAACTAAAATTTGGTATGCTTGCTCTATTCCTATAAAAAATAATTATCAGACTTTAATAAATTGATTTAATTAATGAACGAAAAATTTGCAAAACTTTGAAGCAAGTAACTAGTTTTAAGCTGCATTCCGTGCAACAATTAGTGCGATATAGTGCGAGGTGATCCTTTTGATTCAAAACACCGTGTCATACAAATTTTAGATTTTCAATGCAGATGCTTTATAGTTGATTACGTGCAGCCATGTCTGGCAGTTTAATGTGTTTTTCAAAAATTATTAACTCTAGTAAGTAAAATTTCACTTACATGACCATGGTTTTGAAAAAATTTTCTATTTTATACTTGTTTTATAAACTATTATCAGTTAGAAAACTTTCAAATACTTAATTTTTCATGTGAACTGTCAGAATTCTATAACGAATCTATGAATGTTGGCTGTTTCAAATACTTGCAACTTGAACATCAAGAAAATAATTCATTGACCAGACCTCTTTGCTCAATAAAGTGCAAAGAACTTGGCTATCGATTCAGCGGAGCAAATGTAATTTTATAAATTTCCATAAAATTTTTTAGAGTTTACATATTTGAAATAAAATTAATTAGTTAAAATTTAAATTAACAAAAAAATAATTCACTGTAAACAAACAAAGTATTAAATTTGTAGAGACACAGTATGTATGTGGCCAGATGCTCATATATTTTCAAAGTTTTCATAGTTTATTCATAATCATCAACATATCAAATAAGTAAATAAAAGTTATTTATATTATATATAAATTAATAAATAAATATATATATATATAATATTGTATGTCTTCTGAATTGTTTAATAGGATGTAAGATAACATTCTTCCACCATTTCCCATTTAGGCTGTCAATTGCCAGTGCGACAATAAATTTACATTCAAAGATCAAGTCAACAAAGAACAATGCACGCCATTGTCAATGTTTTTCACGCTAACTGATGGTAGCACATACGATTTTTTCAATTTATTAGTTCTGAATGACCTGAGTCTATAAAACTTGAAACATGTACAGGAATTATTTGTAAGCAGTACTGTCCTAACACCATGATAAACAGTTTTTTTAATGACTCTCCGTCTGATGAGAATGTATTTGATAGATGAATTTATACGAATTTATAAGATTTCACAGTTTTTAAAGGTAAAAATTCTTCAATCTAGGTGTGAATTTTCAATAATCCGACGCATATTATTGCATCTAATATGTAAAAACTAAAAACCACAGCATACAATAATTGCTGCTATATAAGGAGAAACGTTTTGCTGCTTTTGGTAATTAAATTTTAATTAATTAAATTTTAACGATATTAAGTCTAAAACGCTGACAAATTTCTTTAAATATTGGTTAGGAGTTTAATTTTTAAAAATTAAACATCTGGTCACACTTACATATCATACTCAAATTGTTGATTTAGTTTCACCTGAATTGGAAGTCAACTTCAAACCTTCCAAATACAACTACTGCATTAATGACAGAGAGGAGAATATGAAAACATACTGCCGATCTGGTGTTTGTAAGCCTGGTTGGACTGGAGCACTCTGTGATTATAGGGGTACAAAATTTTGTTCTTTGATTAATAAATTAATTTATTTGGGCACATGCTTCTAATTTATTTATTCTCATTAAATCAATTGTAAAGTTGTTTTTTGACTAAAATATCATAGCTCAACAACACGAAAAAAATGTTCTCAAATCTTCTCAAATCATCTTTCCCAAAACTGAGTGAAACAACAATAAGCTAATAACCAACGACAGATTGTGAAGAGAACAACGGTGGATGTAAAAAAGAGATGAACTGCCTGGAGCAAACCGTCAACAACGTGACGATCAACAAATGCCTGTGTAGAGAAGGATTCACGTCTGACATTTTCAATGAGTGCAAAAGTAACCAATCAAGTTTTGTTTCTTTCATTCATACATTGCAATTTTAAATGCTCTAGTTTGTCGAAAAATATTAGGGCAGAGTTTAAGAAGATACTCAAATGTGAGACTGCCTCAGTGTCTCCAAAAAAATCCTTTCAAAGAAAAAGAAAAAAATTCAAAATATACATTGATTGTTACTTAGTGCTCGGAAAAAACTAGTTTTTATACAAAAAAACTTCACTAAAATTTATGAAAAATTGCGTGAATAAACCGCGAACTCTTTTAAAAGCCATTTTTCGAAACTGATAAAACTCCTGAAACCCGGTTCGACTGCCAAGAGAGAACTGTTTTTGTATGCTGAGGTGTTTGATGAGATATGGCATGTGAATAAAATGTTTAGCATTTTAGTAAATGTTTAGTCAAAATTTATTACTGAACTAAGGTTACATTCAACGAAAGTTTAAAAATCGGTACTTATGCATACAAATAAAAATGTTTAAAATGCTTAGTGGTATTTTTACCAGATTAATTTACGGAATATAACTTGGTAATATCTTCTATATATAACATTCTACAAAATGTAAATTATTGGAAAATGTTGTAAAATTTTGTTAAATTGTTCGTAATATTTTGACAAAATCAAAAATTCAGAAATACCAAGCAGACATAATCTGGCTTCAGCGTACATTTACATGATCATGTTAGGAATATCACTTACACTGCTGCTAATAACAATGCTACATGCGGTCTGGTATTTCAGACGGGTGAAAACGCAGCGATTTAGTTTGTTAATTTTCTTTTATTGATTTTTTTTATGAAATTTTGATCTATGAAAATTGTTGTTTGCATTCTTTTATTGGCTGGCAAAAAATGTTGGTCATAATTAATAAATGTTTTTAATGTTTTTTCCAATGAACATAAACAATTTTTCTCGAAACAAAATTTCGTCCAGATAATTTGAAAATTGACATTATCATTCAATCAATTAGTTTATAGAGCGCTTTTTACGTGATGTTCAACCGCGCTCCTCAATGAATTTTGCAAACAGATGGGTCTTGAGATTCGCTCAGAACTTCGTGATGAAGTAGTAAGAAAAGGAGTTAGAGAGTTCCAGAGAAAAGGGCCATAAAAAGCAAAAGCAGATTCAGCAAAAAGTGTTTAACACAAGTTAGGAAGAAGCGAGAATAACAAGACGATCGTAAACTGGCGCGTTTAGGTTCAATTAATATGTCTAATAAGTACTTAGAAAGTAATTTAGATAGAGACTTACACATAAATGTCCAAATTTTAAAAGTTATTCTATATTTTATAGGTAACCAGTGCAAGAAAACAAGATATGGAAATATATGAAAAAAGAAAGGGGCACAAGCAACTAGACGAGCAGAAAGACCACAGTAGAGCGAGTTACAATAATCATTCCTAGATAAGACTAAGGAAGTGACCAGAAGGAGAAAAGTAGGATCGTCCAGAAAAGGCAAAAGCTTTTTTTATTCTTGGTAGATGAAAGTAAGAACTTCTAGCAACGCTATTAATCTGAGAAGAAAAAGATAAAGCCCAGACTACAAAACTTGTTTTAGAATCAGGTAAGATAATAGGAGGAATAGTAATAGTGTATAGATTTAGATAACAATTGGTATCTTTCAGTTGATTTTAGTTTTCCTCATTTTAAAATTGTATTTTATAAAATTTTAAAAAGATTTTGAAACAATTTTTTCCATCAACTGGATAGGTCAAAACTCTGAAGGTAATTTTAAAATTAAAATTTTATTATTTATAAATTGTTTTTAATTTAATTAATTCCAGTAAAATAATTCTACCAAAAATGATAGAGTTTGTATTAACAAATAGTATATAAAATTTGTGAATCGTTCATTGTCAACTGTTCCGTTGACAATGAGCGATGAGTGACAATCGAGGTGAGGGCGGCGTGATGGCTCAATGGTTAAAGGCGCTCCTCAATGAATTTTGCAAACAGATGGGTTTTGGTCTTGCTATTGCTATGACTGGGTTCGAATACAAAGAGATCCCCGCCTATCATATGCAATGTGTATGATGCGTGGTTTTCACGCGTATTGATATACGCTGTGTGTGTTTGTCGTTGAAACCTCTGAAGCAAACGCAAAAGAGAGAGAGAAACCTATAACTTTTAATGGTAGAATGGAATAAATAATTTAATAAGTTATTTAGACATCTTAATACGTATATGATAAATGTAATAACACGCTGTTCTAATGTAGCATAAGAAACGAAATATAATCACATTTATAAATATCAATTAATTTAAAATTTTCAGAGGGATTTCACACTCCCAGGAGTAATTCAAATTAATATGACACTTATATGAAATTTAAATTTAAGATACGTGTAGTGTAGTGTTAAAGGTAGAGAGGCTGATCATTTTTTTTTATTTGATCCGATTTTGAAGATAACTGGCTGGTAGAACGCTGCTACACCACCGTTTACACAAATTTAAATTTCAAATTATTCGTTTTTAATGATATGATCATATATCATTATATGGCATTTGAGTTATAACATTTTAAAAGTAATTTAATTGCTCTACAGAAACCTCAGAAACTCGGTCAAGCATCTATTCAATGTAGAATTTGCAGCAAGTGTAAAATTTTATAACCGGAAAATCTTTTTTCATTTACATTAATTTGAAACTATTTAGATTTTGGTAATTTATTATTTAATTTTTATAAAAAAAATTCATTTTAGACTTGTTTCTCTAATTTTTATAAAACGTTTTAACATAGAAAACATTACATCAAACTCAGCGCTGAGCAATCATATTTTTTTAGATTTTAGAATCCACACCCAATTTATTGAAAAAATAGCAAATCTACAAACTTATTTAGCGTGAATATAAACTGTGTGTCGATTGAATTTGTTTTATTTGTAATAAAATTTTTTTTGATATTTTTATTCTGGATAGCAAGTGCTTTTGAGAAATATTCTGTTCATAAAAGGCTTTTTATAAATGTCATGAAAAAAATTTCCTTTTGTAATACCAGCGGTACAACCAGTGTTTTTCATTTTGAGGAGATAATTTTTGAAATGTAACGCTGATGAACTATTTTTGTGCTAATTCTAATGATTTTTGTTAATTTCGGTTATTTGTTGGCTGATGATATTCAAAATTCTCAAGTTAGTGACCATTTTTGGCTAATTTACTTATATTTTATTACCATATTTTTACACAAAATCTAATGCTTTTTTATAGTCTATTTGAGGGAGACATGCAGTTGAAAGCGACATAAGTATATATTGGGTAAATAATTTAGCAAAAGATTTAAGCATTATTGTAATAGTATATGATACATTTAATAAATAAAATATTCTAGTTAATTTGGAAGTGTTTTCACGGTTTGTTAATTATATTTTGATTCTGCTGTTTTGCTTTTTCATTTACGTCAAAAAATTAGTTATCTATGAACATGTTTTCAGTTTAAGAGCTACACGCGAATAAACAAAAAGTATAATCGTTTTATAATTAGATAAAATATTTTATAGCTACACCATAATGAATCGTGAATGTATTATTTTAAAATTCTGAGTATAATTAGAGAATGATCACCAAAAGGTCACGTACCGAACCTTCAAGAAGATTATATGTGTGGATTTTCGTTGCGGTTATCTATTCCCGACAATCAATGGAAAGTAAGCTGCTCATTATCAATCATTAAACATTTTAAATGCAACGTGAGTGACGGTGTAATGGTAGTTGTCCTGGCGTTGCTGTTGCAGTCACTGGATTCGATTTCACAGACATCCACGCTTATCACATTCTATGTCTGTGTGATGAGTTAATTAGCAAGTCCTCTGTGTTTGTTGTTGAGACTCCTAAGAAAACACTGAAAATGCTGGTGAATTAGTATCCACCAGAGTGCATTGCAATTTTTATGTTCAATTTTTAGGAAGGGAATATATATGTGTGTGT